TTTCAGGGGTCATTGCATTTAAGTGTCTTAAATAAATAAATAAATAAATAAATAAATAAATAAATAAATAAATAAATAAATAAATAAATAAATAAATAAATAAATAAATAAATAAATAAGATACCATCACCGCAGGGAGGGGGGCGATGATAACTTCCTCAATGGCTCAAGGGGGCGTTTCTTTCAAAAGGGTTAAGAACCACTGGTTTACATAATGAAGTTTTATGAAGTAACTTTTGAACAACAACTGGCAAACATCAGTTCGCTCTAACATCTCATCCTTTTCTAAGATGTAAAGTGATACCTTATGACATTGGAACTGGGAGGCTGTGGTTTACAGTCCAGACTGTTGAATCAGGATCTTATTAAAACAGATGAAAAACTGTATGTTCTTAAAATGTTGTTCTGGTTTTCCTCTGGCTAATGAATCAGCATAGACTGGAGTCTGTAAGATTCTGTCCTTTATCTCTTATCATAATTGTCTCCTATGTCATAACACCCTTGAAAGCTGAACATTACAGAACCAAGTTAGAAGAACAGTGAGGAAAAAAAAGACTTTGCCTGATTTTCAGGTCCTCAAAGAGGCACCCTGGTTCCTCAGTCTACTCTCTTCCAAGAAAATTATGTAAATTCAGGAGAGGCTTTTAGGAAAAAGGTGAAGGGGCACCTTGCCTTGGTATTCTTTATTCAAAGCAGAGTACAAATGGGCTTTTTTCCATTTCTGAGCATGCTACAAACCTGTGGAAATCTTAGTTTCTAGGAGGTCATGTATTTCATTCTCTCTATAATTTGGAATCCCTAAATTAAGTCGGGTAACATAATAATGACCAAGACTGTTTGAACATTTTAAAGAGCTGAGCTTTTTGTTTCTTGTTTTTGGAAGTGAGTCTTTATAAAAAGTATTTTTGCATATGGGGGGATTTTTTTTCTTCATCTTTGTGCTTTGGTTTAGTATCTTTCAACACTTTTGCCTTCATTTTTGTATTAAGTCTTGACAGAATTTACAGATAAGTGGTGTACATAGAAATGCATTTGTATGATATCATCAAGAATCTTTAAAACATTTAAATACCCCAGTTCACTATATCTCACATTCTCTCTTTTGATGACTTTTTTATTGATGAATTTCTTCCATGTATTTTCAGGATGAAGGTTTGAGGCTGAGAAAGGTGGCACACTCAGATAAACCTGGACCATCAGGCTTGGCCCTCCGGGATAATGGCTCCAATCCTCTTCCCTCACTTCTTGTTGTAATTGCAGCCATTTTCATTGGATTCTTTTTAGGGAAATTTATCTTGTAGAGAGGGAGAAAAAGAGAAGCACGCAGAATGCAGCTTCCTTTTTTTTTCTTGGCCAGAAAAAAAAATGTATTTACCTACCACTTCATTGGTAGTATGGCCTAAATGACCATTTGTGTACAGCATCATGCAGGCTTTGCCTCTAATGATCTTGCACGGTTAGACAACACAGTAAAAAGATAAACTGTTCGGCTGCTGGACAAAATTGTATATTAATTCATCAATAGCAGGTGTCAGTTGCACATTCAGTCCTTTATGAAATTCATAAATAATGAATAGTTCTTTCTTTCTGTGGTTTTAATAAGAGTTAAAATTGTTCAAAGTCTTGTAAATGTTATTTTAATAATCCTTTTAAAATTTTATCTGTTGCTTTGGCCTCTTGGAAAATGATTATCAGAATGCTCTTCCCGGTTGTTCAGAAATATGATGATGCATTCTGTGGGGAAATGGTTCCTCTTAGTGTGTAAATTTACCTTACTTTGCTATATCATGCAGAATTTCTTATCCCTTGTGAGGCGGTTGTTGAAAAAGTTTGTCATCCTTACAGCCCTGTCCCATGGTATTTAACATACAAAATAATAAAACTGTTAACAGACTCCCTGCTGGATAGCTTGTTTCTGTGAATTGTTCTTTTTAGAAAGGTTTTCTAACATGTTTTATACATAATCTGCTTCTTGTCACAGAAGAACATTGTTAATTTCACTAGCTGTACCTTGGGCTGGTGCCAGTGATGAAGAAACTGGCTTCTCTATGTTGTTTAAATCAGCAACAGAGATTTCTGGATTTTAGCAAAATGAAGGGTCATATAAGATTGGTTTTGGGACAGGGACTAAACATAAAGCAGATATTTTAAAATTGTCTTTTAAAGTACTTTTTGGCTTGCTGGTATTTCTGTTGCTTCACTGAACTTCTCTTATTTTTCTGAAGCCCCCATTATTCTTTTGTTCAGATTTATTTAGTCCAAATGTCCCTTAAACCTAATGCTCTATGTAACATTTACATACATTTCTTTTATATAAATATTCCAAAGTTGATACTGGCTGAGTAAATTTTGATCATTTAGTTTTGTGAGAAGAGAATAAAGCTTTGACCTGCAAATGTCTTGGCACAGTTGCTCATTAGTGATGCCTACTGTCAGTATTCTAGAAAAATTATTTTATTGGATCTGAACTGCTTTTTTGCACTTAACCATGTGGCTTGTTTTATTTCTGCTCTTTATGTTATTTAGATAATTTTGGAAGCACAACAGAGCTATTTTTAAACCATTATCCATCAAAGGGTATTATTTTAAAACTGACATTCTGAAACACATGTAACTGTAAGCAGCATTTTGTATATTCTTGGATAGGATGCAGCTAAGTGTGTTAAATCTTGTGTAGCTGAACAATATTCCAGCAAAAATATACATCCTTGATTGCCTTTGATTTCTGGTGGTATTTTTAATGGAAGATGTACTTACATCAGGTACCACCAATGCTCTCTATGCTAAATTTTTATAAGACATCTCACAGTTTGCAAAGAAGACAATGAGCAAGCTACTGCTTGATGTTTCACTTAAAAGCATGCAAATACAGACATTTTCCCGTGTGTGTTCCGGTATCTGCATTCAAAATTTCTCTGACTGCGGTGACTGCAAGAAAATAAGCTCAGATTTGGTACTCACATCAGTTTTAAACCCAAGAAGACTCTTTATACTGTGGTGTTCATGAATGGTACATCAGAAGAAAACATTTATTCCTTAAAGGAAGTTGATCTTTGGAAGATTACAGGGGGAGGGGACTAATGTACAGGCTGTAACTTCTGGATACATTTTAATATTTCTGTAATGAGGAGGAAAACCTCAAAAACACATTTATTGTTTAAGTAGTATATATATATATAGTCTTGCAGTAATGGCTACACATTTTAGGGTTAAATAGGAGGCAAAACTCAAGCTCATAAAAAGTTGACTGAATTGAAAAGCTGTGTTACAAAGAATTCTGATACAGGCATGATCTCATGCTACAAAGATAGTGAAGTTCCAAAGTCTATAGTCTGATTATCATAAATAGAGAATTAATTTATGAGGATTGGTTTAGACTGTTTAACAAGGCATATGCTTTAAGCATAAATATTACTGAATAACTCATGGTGCGTTTGGGTGTCATAACCAGTATATGTTTGGTGAGGTGCTCTGGCTTATATGATGCAGTTTTAACTTCTAATAATCCTTTCATAACTGTATATAAAATGTAATGCTAAACTATTTTGCTCTCAGGAGTGATTTTGGGTTATATCAACTGTATTCAGTGAAATTATGTAATATGGATTAAATTGTCTGATACCGAAACAGTTGGAACTTCGCCTGATTACTTGTGAACATATACATGAGGCAGGTTTGTTCTCTTTACTAGTTAGTGTTTTGAAATTTGTGAAAGACCTGTCCCCAAGTTAAGTTTTATGTATATTGTGTATTATTAGTGGCTGCAGCCTGGGTTACACATGTCTTAATATTTAGAGTCCGTAACATGGCTTTAGTAGGTACAGTATTTACGCAAACAAATTATTGTGGAAAATATTGTGAATTTCAGTTATGTTGGAGTCCTAAAAATGCTAATGAATGAACTGGTATGAGAATAAAGTATCCCTGCCCTTCTATTCACTACAACATAATAAAGTACAGTATTACCTAAGTCCTGCTTAATCAGTTTAAAAAAGGGATTTTGTGATGGACAAGTCACACAAATGCTTTCCCTTGAAGCCTTGCCTTTAAAGCAAATTGAAGGGCTCTTACTGTCTCCATTCTTCATTTTTAAATATAGCCTCCATGTCATCCTCAGAATTTCTATATTGTATTTCCCAGGATATTTTGGTACATGTATCTTTGCTGTGCACAACTGCAGAATCCCTGAACTGGTAGTACACTAGGTGGCAGACTAATACTGTAAAAGTGGGCAGTATGAAGCTATAGTTCGTCAGAACAGAAGTTAGAACCAAGCAAGTAGCAGTTGCTCTTCAGTAGCATTGCTATTGCACAACAGGGGCTTTGAAGGGAATTGAAACCTCTTTAGTTGGATTTTTCCTTACCTGGCCAGGACAGTTAGTTTATGGTGATCATCGTTTCAGACAACTATGAAATCCTCTCTAAATGAAGAGAATTCTTTGTAGAAAACGTCTTAACGATTCCAGGTCCAGCCTGCACACACATAGCTAGCTATCTTAATAACACATTATTAAAGTTACATTTTCACAAGATTTGAACTTCAAAAGTCTTAGTGAACATTTAAAATAGTATGGCATATTATTCATTTGTTGTCTTTCAATAAATAAGATTTCATTTTGGTATAGTTGTGCAAAACATGTTAGACTGAATGAATCCAGATCACTATTAATGAGAATTAGTTTTTGTTTTGTTTTTAAAAGGCTGTTCTACTTTAAAGCTCACTGAATTCAACCACTTTGATATTTAACACTTGTAGGGTGTTTGGTGCAATTTTTAAAATCTTTATTTTAAATTTTACTTATTTTTATTTGTCGAAAGTAATCTTGCCTTCAGCTTCATCCACTTTTCAGTTGCATGCTTTCTGTACCATGTCGTGATTCTTAGAAGATGGCTATTTGAATAATTTGTATTACTACCAGTTTCCCAGTTGTCCTCTGAAACTCTGTTGGTCCAGGAGGGGAGCAATCTACTGCTTTATAAAGACCAGCTAAAATCTCACCAAAGTAAGGACATATCCAGGTTCTTCAGAAATCTTTATCTTGTTACGTGGAACAAAAAAATAGGAATGGGGGAAGAAGTGCAAAATTCTGGAAAATGTTACAATTATGATGTATGCAGTTGACTGAGACCCAAGATAGAGACTGCAAGCTGAATGAGATTCTGGTAGATATGCAGGTAACTGATAGCACCTAGCAACGCAAACTGTGAAGGAAAGGTAATGCATGCCTCTTTCTGAAAACAAAACTGGCCACAACTTGAGGCTGATGCATTGCACTGAAGCTTTAATAGTGTTGGACCGCAGAAATGTTGACAAAAAAGAAAAAAAGCCATTTGGTTCATGAACAAAATCCAAAACCAAGAGTGGGTGATATCCTTATTATGCTATCAGAATGTCAGAAGAATAGCATATTTTTTTACCCATGTGGTACTGTCCCCGCAGTTCTGCAGTAGTGTTCGGGTACTCTTGGAGTGTACATGATCAAGCCTGTGAGCTGTTGACAAAAGTTATGTTCATGCAAAAAGCATTCTGTTTTTGATAGTAACCATAAAATACATTTGGTTGTATGAATTAACACCCAAAATAACAAATCAAATAATAAAATTGTCAGTAGCTTCTTGACTTGGCTTTTCTTCTGTTATGAATATAGCAAACTTTACAATGGGACTAATGCTTCTATTTATTCTTTTGTTGCCTGTTGTAGTGAACCATTTGACTGGGAGTCAAAGGGATATCTTGAACATATTGTCGTTAAAGACTTAATTTTCCAGGCTTTCTAGCATTTATATAGTAGCTTCTGAAGAGCATTCATGGGCATCTACAGAGCAATGTAAAGCTGTTTTGCTTTTTGTTTTTTGTTTTTGTTTTCAGAACAATCTTGTGTGATAAAATTAAGAGCTGCATTATGTTTCTGTGTGTGGCATTGGTGTTTGTGTTTTTTAAAGTTTGGTTTAAATTACTGAAAGCACCAGTTTTGAAAATGTAGTTTTGTTGCAGATAGACGATGTCAGTATGTCTTCTTGGTAATCTATATTGCAACATGTGTTTTCTTATTTGAATATTTGAGAGTTAAAAATGTTACCTATTCATTCTGAAAATTCTCATAAATCTTCTAATTACCCAAGCTTGAGAATCTGTATACAAGCTTGAAAGAATTGAGGAGGTTGTTGCATTTTGGGGGGAAATTACTCTATCTCCTCTCCTCTACCAGAACAGTTACCTAGAAAATATTTGGCAGCTTGAAATGACCCCAGATCCCACCCCCCAAACCGGGTAAATAACCATATTTTCTGATTTAGCCTAATTTATGTTCAGTATTCTTAGCCTCTCATATAGCATTATATACATAATTAAGTGAGAAGAGTTTTTTACTCAGGTGAGTGATCATTTTCAGTGAGAGCTATTGAAAAAGAAATTACTTAACAGTGGAACTCAGACCAGAACCTGACTTCCTTGTACTTCCAGTATCCTTAGATTTGTTGTGTCTTTATAATAATACATCTAAAAGCTAGCTTTTCAGTATCAGTATATTAGTGATTGCAGTAATTCCCCATGTTAATTGTATTCTTTATTTTCTCCATTTTCCTGAGAGTGTCATGACTTAGAAGATTTCAGAATGAATTTACACCAGGGTTTATTCTGAATTCTATACTACCACTAGATGGCAGTATTTTATTACACTTAATTCCTGTTTAAGACTCTTAACCTTCAGGTTGAATTATCAGCAAAAGTGGGAAAGGACTATTTTTCTGATTAAAGAGAGACATGAGCTCCATGTTTTTCCTGCTTGAAACCTACTACAACTCCTGCATGAGAGGGCAGTTGGCATATCTGGTGATGGTGACAGTGGGAAAGTTGGGTCTTCAGTGAGCTGGAGAGCCTGTAAATTGATGTCTTATTTGTCTGTCCTATAAAGAATCCAGAACTCCAGTTTGCCTTTCTGGCAGTTTGACTGCATGAGCCTTCGCCATTGCATCTGGTCCAGTTTTGGAGCTTTCTGTTTAAACCCCAAATTTTACAAGTTTTATCTGCTGAAGAAGTCTGAAGAATTCAAAGTGTTCTAGTGATCCAAAAAAGATATTGCTTAGCCTAGAACTTTGCTATGAACTGCCTGCATACTTAAAAAAACCTCCTCCATTGTAGTTTTGGAGGCATCTGGTTACCTCACATACTTTTGTTCTTTTATGCAAATACATATATTTGTACACATGGTATTTTAAAACATGCATTGATTGCACAGAAAGTGTTAGTATACACTTCTTCGTGGCCTCTGTGAATGCACACAAATGGGTGATGTCAGCCCCTGCGCTGGATTCCTCGGGATATTCTAGAGATTTAAAAGTAGCAAAACTTGAACGTTGTACATTGTCCCTATTGCGCATGCTCCTCCCGCCCGTACTTCAGTTCCATTTTACTGCCTTTGTGTTAGGAACTTTGCGGTTTAGAGCGCCTTGTTTTTTCATATAATTGGTTTGATTCTCTCAGCTTTTGACTTTGGACAGTGTTTATTGGAAACTCTTTTACTCTGTTGCCCCTGGTTTTGATTCGGATCATTAAAAAATTTCACTACCCACCGCTTATTTTGGATATCCATTGCTTCTACGTTGACAACTTTGGACTGTGTTTCTTGACCACTCCTTATTCCTCTGGCGATTCTGTCTTGTTTTTGATTGGACTGAAATTTTCGGATTTGACACAGACTGTACTGACTATCACTGATGGTTGTGAGTTCCCCCCCTTTTTTTGTCTCTCTTTAAAGCGATTACTCTTATGTCCCGATTGGGCCTTTTTAGCAGGTGTGTTTCTTGCTCCCGTGAACTCCCTTTCTCTGATGGGCATGACTTTTTTTTGGTTTGGGAGAAGGACACAAACCACAGTCGTGCAAGGAGTGTAAGAAATTTACTAAAGCTGCTCTTAAAGCTCATCAGCAGAGGCTAAAATTTTTTCTGTGGGACAAGACTTTATCATCTTCTAATCCGGGCACTACGGAAACGACTTCTACACTGGCTTCCACACCCCGTCCCAAAGCCACGACGCCGAACCCTCAGGCTTTACCACCCTCGAGACCATCCAAAAAGGCACAAAAAAGGTCTTCGGGGACGGTGTCAAAGAAGTCTTCCACATCGATGTCGACCTCGGCGTCTAAAGCCCACATAAGAAGAAGACAGATAAGAATAAAAAGGACAAGCGTCCATCAAAGGCGGATAGACCTCGAGACATACAACCAGTCTCTCAGTCAATGGGCATAAGAAGGCAGATAAGAATGAAAAGGACAAGCGTCCATCAATGGTGGATAGACCTCGAGACATACAACCAGTCTCAGTGTCTCTCCTGTCCCCTATCCTCGAAGACTCTTCTTGAGCCCCTACACCGTGCCACTCACTGAGCCCTGGCTGCCTAAACGATGACGCCGTGTGTAGTCACGCCATTCTCGAGACTGAGAGTCTTTCTCGGAGGGAGCTCCATCAATTCAGCCCAGACAGGCTCAGGCTTCGGCCCCTGCACCGTGCCACTCACTGAGCCCTGGCTGCCTAAACGATGATGCCGAGTCTAGTCACACCTCTGCCCGTACAAGCCCTGCTTCTGCCGGGCGGGCCACAATAGTACGCCTTTCCAGGTCTGAAACTTC